TAAAAATCCAAGGATGTTATGAGTGAGAACTGGAGTAAATTATTTTGTAAATGATATGCATAAGGGACCAGAGGAGTGAGTTCAGCCTTCAAAACCGGGATTAGACTTACAAAAAAGAAGAATAAGGAGTGCACTCAAGAGCTTGGTTAAATTTCCACAAACCTTTAACGATAGGGTAGAGCCCACTCCTCTTTGAGTAATAATGGAGCAGTAGCGTTCCGTCTGGATGCGCTTCACATCGAAATGATGGACCACGTAATTTTGTTTGGTACACAACGTGGTCAATGAAATAGTGCAAGGAATCGAGCGAATCAAGAAAACCCTAAAATTTTCGTTTTGTAACTTCCAATCAATATCATTGTGAGTTGCTGCTTATAAATTGCTGCTGAGTTTTCAACCGATAGGTTTGCATTTGGTACGTTAAATGGGTAACACTGGCTTACCTTGCTCATTAGAGAAAGGATAGTGGTACTAATTCTACATTAAAGTGAAAAAATAGAGAATGGCTCTTACCGTCTGAAGTTAAGACATTGAGTACATAAGCACTTTACCTATGCAAGGCTTTATTTGAAAAACTATCCTAACATTAAATGGTGCCATCTACCAAAGACTTGGGATATCTATTTAGAACGACTTATTTCTCATTTTTCCTCTACGTATGCATACTTTATTTTTGAATTCCTTGTCATTACATATGTGTATTTTTCCTGGCATTTTATTAAAATTCGAGAAAATGGCTATGCGAGGAAAAGGGTTTAGTTGTTTAGCAGGCCTGCGTTTGGCAAAGTAAGTACTTCTGAAGACGAATAGAAGAATGAGTAGTCAAATTAGACATTTTTTCGTGTCAAATGTACTTTTCGTTTATACATCTCCAAAACAGTCGTGCTATTACAAATATGTAACACAAATATCTCATTTTTAAAAAAATGTAATTATAAAGCTTTTTATGCAGCAAGACATTGGACGCTACAACACAAAAACAGTTACCCATGAGATTAGAAATTAATTTGAAGCACAACTTTCAGTATCATTCTTTCTCGGAGAATAAATCGATGATTTCGTGGATTCTCAGCTCTTTTGCCTTCGCCTAAAGTAGAAGTGAAGGTTTATGGCAATAAGGTGTACTTGAAATCTTACATGGAATTCTTTCTCAATCGCTTCTTCCTCTTCACGTTCTTGATCGGTTAGTTTTGACTTCAGCTTGTTCTAAATAGTTTCATATGAGTTTATTTGGCAAAAATAGTTGATTGTTGAGATAAACAACTACCGCTCTGCGCGTAAGCTTCTGGTCAAGTTTGGAACCTTTTACGGCAAATAACAATTTGAACTTCTTATCGTGTATGGACTTTACCTGGAGTATAATTATTTTTTCAAAATTTGGATATAACCGAGTTAGAGAGAAGATAGCAAACTTTGCGAAAAATCTTTAACTACCTTCTCTCCTGCTCTTTCTAGTCTCTCGTCAAGCCATTTTTTTAATTCTACCATCTGCTTAAGAAGCTCGCGTGACTGAGGCTGAATATAAAATTTCACATATTTTTGACATTTGAATCAATATAATATGAATTGACCTCAAACTACATACCTCATCGTTGGCGTCACTCGTTAAAGATTCGACCTTTTCAAGTTTCTGCGTTTTGTTAAGTGAAGGGTCGATAAGTACTCTGCCAGTCTAAATATACCGCCAAATAGTATAATGTTTAGGTGTTCACAATGAAACTATTTCTCTCGCACCACTATCATTTTCTCCTCCGATGACATGTTTAAGTGAAATCCAGATGGATGTTCGTAGCCTTTTGGAATTCCTAAAATCTTCTGCCAATATTTAAATGAAAGTAAAGTTAATAATATTTTAATTATGACCAACTTTTTGCTGAACTCTATAATTTTCCTTGGACCAAGTACTTAATTGTCAATTTAGATGCGATAATCATGAAGGAGACATCAGGGTGAGATCTCCTGAGTAAGAAAAACTAACCGAATGGGAATGCAAGTGAAGTAATGAGCAAAAGGGCAAGTGTAGCTGGCTGTAACATCTCTAAAAAGGATGTTAGCAGTAATTAACAGAATAATAAGCATTATAATAAATTTTATTTTCTAAGCAACCACAATATCAAGTAAGTTGGTAAAAATAACGTAGTTTTGGGTGCCAACTTGCGTGATACCGTGGTAATGTAGGATAATTTTAATTAGAAGAAATAAGAAATTCCAATTAACGGGAAAATAAAGTCAATGAAAGTACTGAGTAGCAAAACCTGCAAACTGTTATAAAAGTTTGAAAACTGTATTAAAAAAGTTCTGCTAAACGAGCTTGACATACGTTCTTAACTATATATAATATGAGATTTGCTTTAGAGATATTCTAATCGTGGAGAAGCTGAAGGAAAAACTTTTTTAAAAACTTGTACATGAAACAGATAATGAACCTATTATTGAAGAAGCCGTTGCATACATTAAAATCTCGTTTTTCTCTAGATGGTAAAGATGAATCCTGTTCAATAAGAGAAAGAATGACTCATAGTTAAGAAGAATTGTACATATTTTGGTACAAGAATAATAAACTTTCCATGCGCAGAAAATAAGGGCATTTTCAACGATTTCAAAGAAAAGAAAGAACATTTCAGCGCTTTAGAACTCCAAGAATGATCTGTGTAAAAACACGTTTAGAGAACCTTGACGGCTAACAATGTGCGCATAAACCCTTTTTTGATGAATTCTTTTGTAGTACACCAATGTTAAAGATGATCTAACCACTTTATTGATACAATAATAATGGTACAACAAAAAACAGCCGTAAAATGCTCGAGATCTTTTAAGAACTTGGATCTGAGCTGGATATGTGATTTGCAAAAGCTTAACACAGAACAATCGAACCGTTAACAAAAGCATATCATATCAATGCGTGCCACCGTAAGTGAAGCTGTCCTTGACCGCTTGGTTTGGTTGTTTTCTTGGACTTTTTGCAGCATAGTTAAGCGATTTTCGTTTGTTGTTCTCTTCATCGAAGCCTCGCCGCATGTACATGATAATGGTGGAGACCTGAAAAGATGCCAGTTAATGCATTTTGCATAAATTATTCCATAAAAATTGTTGGTCATGATGGATAGAGATGTATATGAATAGCGTGTGGCAGCAGATAGCGGGAAAATGATGATGAATGTGATGAAGGCTGAGCGGTGTGGAGATACATAGACATCTGCGGGAAAAAAGACAACTTGACTATGTAATAGCACGAATAAAATGTAGGAGTGTGCCAATTATTTGCTACTTTCTGCTATCTCTACTAAAATGGGAAATAACCTTATTGCTAGCAGGAATATGCCAAAATCAGTAAAGTTTTACTTACCAGAGTTCGCCATGCTCCCAAAGTTGGTCGCTGACGATTTGCCTCCCATTCTACTGCAGCCTGAGTCATACATTCAGCAAATGTCTCCCAATATAGAGGATCAAATCCACGACCTTGCATGACCACATGCCGTCGGCCAAGATTCTAGGAATTTTTTAGCTGTTTGTCTCAAACAATGCATGAGTTGTACAGCCTATGAGTAGGTTTCTATACTATGCAATTCTTTCATAACTTTATTACCCGTTAAATATAGAATATAAGTTGAATTCTTACTTAGACAACTTAGATCTCTCCACCTCCCAATCACAGGGTTCCAAAATTGAGACTACGTATATGTCTCATTTCCTTTTGAGAAAACACAGATAATTAATTAAATCTGTTATCCATCAGATGTTATTGAGATGATGGCGTTATTGTTATTCAAAACAATCCTATCGTGTTTTATCTTAATGCGAATCGCAATGAATAATGTTTTTTACCGTAAACAAGCGATGAACTGAAATCTAAACACAGCTGTCAAATTGAAAGAGTCTGCATGCTTCCGCTTTTTGGAATACTGAGCCTGCGATTTCAGTGAGTATCAATGTTAGGAATAAGAAGTGTAATTACATAAAAGCAAGAAATTCAATGTGAAGTCAG